CTCTCTCTCTCTCTCTCTCTCTCTCTCTCTCTCTCTCTCTCTCTCTCACTTCCATCTTTCTATCTCTTTCTTTGAGAGAGGATTTCTGTGTAACTTTAATAAGCTATGTAGACCAGGCTACATTTGAACTCATACTGGGTTCCTCTGTCTCTGTCCCTTCCAGAGTTCATCTTATAAAAGAACACAATACAGAAAACGTGAAGATACACCTAAGCAAATAGAAAGACAATCCCTCATAATTATACTATCAACAGTTATATATTCTTCTATATTATTTATCTAGGAATATGTTAACATATATGTTTTTATTTATTATGTATGTGGTGTATATGTGTGTGCAGATGTGTGCAGAGGGTGACATCAGGACAGCAGTGTCCTAACCACCCTCCACCTTATTTTTTGAAGGAATAGCTCTCCCTGAACCTGCAGTTCACGTACTTGATTCAACGTGGCTGCCAGACAACGAGCCTCAGAATTCAGAGCTGGGGTTACCGCGTGCTGCTACTTCTGGCTTTCCCATGATTTCTGGGGATCCAGATTCAGGTATTTGTGCTTGTGAGGCAGACACTTTTGCTACTGAGCCATTTCCCCATCCCAGACACACACATACACACACACACACATACACACACACACACACACACCAGAAGACAACTTGCATGAATCATCTCTCTCCTCCCATCATGTGGGTCTGTGGATCAAACTCAGATCAGCAGGCTTGGCAGCAAGAGCCTTTATCTGCTGAGCCATCTTGCCGGTCCACACTGTGGCTTTTAACGAATGAGACTACGGACAGACTGTGATTTATCCAGCACGCTCCTCTTACTGCATTATTTCTAAGTTTTAGAATTATAAATAGGGTTAAAGAGAGAACAATTGTAACAGGGGATTCAGCCTCTCTTCTGGCTTCTTTGGATACTTTCACTCATGGGGTATACACACACACACACAGGTACACACACACACATATAAAAACTTTAAAAATAATAAAATAAACTTATAAATAAGACTATAATGAACATTCTTAGTGAGATACACATACTTCGTGATTATTTTCCTCCAATTGGAAGTGTAAATGGAAGAACATTGCGCTAGACCAGCTCTATCCTGTCCATGGATCCTTTGCCACAAGTACCACAGCCCTCCCAGGAGCCTGGCACCAGTGGCTTCCGTGCTGAAGGAGGGATGTAGAGCAGAGCTTTTGGCAATCTGTCTAGGCTGCCTCTGTAGATATGTATGAAAAAAAAAATTGCTAACAGAGGACATGTACTTGCTTTCACTTGGGGCTGAACCTCTCCTAAAAACAGAGAAGAGAAGAATGAGTCCGTAGTCTCATTCATTAAAAGCCACAGTGTGGACCGGCAAGATGGCTCAGCAGATAAAGGCTCTTGCTGCCAAGCCTGCTGATCTGAGTTTGATCCACAGACCCACATGATGGGAGGAGAGGCAAGTTGTCTTCTGGTGTGTGTGTGTGTGTGTGTGTGTGTGTGTGTGTCTGGGATGGGGAAATGGCTCAGTAGCAAAAGTGTCTGCCTCACAAGCACAAATACCTGAATCTGGATCCCCAAGCAAACGTAGCATACATCATTAATTCCAGTGCTCAGGAGGCAGAAGCAGCCAGATCTCTGTGAGTTCAAGGCCAGCCTGGTCTACAGAGTGCTATCCAGGACAATCGGCTACACAGAGAGACTCTGTCTTGGGAAACAAACAAAAAACAGAGAAGAGATTGTTTTGCAGAGAATATTTAGACTCTAAAGGACAGGAAGAGAGACGAATAAGCCACAAGAACTTTTGGGGGAGTGATGAAGCAAATGAGCCAGTTCTGATGAATTCAGCAGGCCTGAGATTGCTGGCCCTAAGCTGATCATGGGGAAAGGTGAGCTCCAGCTTGCTCATCACACTGGATTCTCAAACCTCTAGGGCATCCTAGCAGAGCACTGGCCAGATGCACCCGCATGTGGGTTAGAAACAGCAATATCCAAGACTCAGCCATAGCAAACTCAGGTCCCCCAGCTTTCATGGCAAGCACTTTACCAGCGGATCTGTCAGGAGGCTGCAAGCAGAAGCAACCGTCATGTGAAGGCTGGGCTGAGCCTGGGGATATAGTGATACGGTCTGTTTCCAAGGCAGTTTATGCACGTGGCTGGCAAGTTTGGGGCAGAGTTTCCATTCGTCCCTATGGGGAACTCTCCATAGGTCTGCTGGAATATTCTCAGATATCATGGCTATCTTCCTGACTGTGGTGGTTCCAGAGAAAGAATCGGGGAGCTGCAATGCTCTCTACACCCCCACTTTGGGCACATACAGTCTGCCTTCCACAGCAGCTCCTTGATCACACAGGTCAGCCTCCTACAGTAGGACAGAGACCACCTAACATGCGAGTACCAACATGGAGGAGTGCAGGGACCATCAGTGGATGGAGGAGATTAAGAGGGTATAATCCCCCCAAGAAGACTAACTTGGTGTTCCTTCATCCAGATGAACATGGGCATAAGACGTAGCAAGAAAAGATGTGCAAATTCCAGTAATTATTGCTTGAACAAATGTTTAGTGAGTACCTACGGTGGGGGGGGGGCTAAATTAAGGGAGCAGTCTACAGTTATGATCAGGGACACAAGGCAGTCCCCTCCAGTCCTACACTGATATGACAGTTCTAAGTCCCAGGCCTTTAATCCCCAGAGCACTAACCCACCATCTCAGAACCTCCCTCCCGTGCTCTGAAATTCCGGACTCTCTAATGTGTGTGTTCTTCTGCTATCGGCTGCTCGTCATCTTCGGCAGGACCACCAGGAACCCACTCTATTTATTCTCAGACATAGACATCCTCAGAGAACTTCAGGCTAGTTTCTTCCCTAGGGAAGACATAACTATCTACCCCTCCTCTTGAGATCCATTGACAAACCAAGGTGCAATTCCAAAGTTCACTGTGGAAACAATAAGTTTACTGGGTTTATTTACAAAGCAATGGGAAAGGAGTTACCAACAGAATCATAGGTGACCAGAAAATAGCTACACTGAAAGGTCTTCACCCAGCAGGGATAGTGATTTCCCCATGACTGTGTAGAAGGAACTCCTACCCTTATCCATTCCCATCTCTACTGTCTGGCCCCTCTCCCAAGACCACATGAAGCTAGGCAGTGGTGGTGCACGGTTTAAACCCCAGCACTCGGGAGACAGAGGCAGGAAGATCTCTAAGTTTGAAACTAGTCTGGTCTACAGTATAGTGAGTTCTAGGACAGCCGAAGCTACACAGAGAAACCCTGTCTCAAAAATAACAGGAAAGAAAGAAAGAAAGAAAGAAAGAAAGAAAGAAAGAAAGAAAGAAAGAAAGAAAGAAAGAAAGAAAGAAAGAAAAGAGGGGGCTGGAGAGGTGGCTCAGTGGCTCAGTGGTTAAGAGCACTGACTGCTCTTCCAAAGGTCATGAGTTCAATTCCCAGCAACCACATGGTGGCTCACAACCACCTGTAATGGGATCTGGTGCCCCCTTCTGGTGTGTCTGAAGACAGCTACAGTGCACTCATATGCATAAAATAAATAAATAAGTCTTTAACAACAAAAAAAATGTTTAAAAAAAAAGAAAGAAGAAGAAAAGAAGGAAGGAAGGAGAGAAGGAAGGAAAGAAAGATAGAAAGAAAGAAAGAAAGAAAGAAAGAAAGAAAGAAAGAAAGAGAAAGAAGGAAGAAAGAAGGAAAGGAAGAAAGAAAGAAGAAAAGGAAGGAAGGAGACAGAAAGAAAGAAGAAAAGAAGGAAGGAAGGAAAGGCAGAAAGAAGAAAAGAAAGAAGAAAAGAATGAAAGAAGGAAGGAAAGAGAGAGAAAAAGAAAGAAAGAAAGAAAGAAAGAAAGAAAGAAAGAAAGAAAGAAAGGAAGAGAGAGAGAGAGAGAGAAGTATAAAGGTTCATGTTTATATCCCAAATCTTGGGCTGGAAGGATGGCTCAGTGGTTAACAGTACTTGCTGAAGACCTGGACTTGGTTCTCAGTACCCACACGGTGACTCACAGTGTCTGTAACTTTAGCTCAAGGAAACCTGGCCCCCTCTTCCAACCTCTGAAGGCACCAGGCAGTATGTGGTACACATACACACATGCAGGCAAAGCACTCATAGACATAGAACAAAATTAAAGCTTTAAAAAAATTTCCATTGTCCGGGTCTGGAAGGATGGCTCAGAAGTCAAAAGCCCTTACTGCTCCTTCAGAGGACCTGTGCTCAGTTCCCAGAACTCACATGGAGGCTCACAACCGTCTGTGACTCCAGTTCAAGGGTATCGGATCCCTTCTTCAAATCTCTGTGGGCACCAAGCATGCATGTGATACATACACACACATGCAAGTAAAATACTCATGCACAGAAAATAAAAATAAATCTTGTTTTAAAAAATTCTAATGTGTCAGGTGGTGATGGCGCACACCTTTAATCCTAGCACTTGGGAGGCAGAGGCAGGCGGATTTCTGAGTTCGAGGCCAGCCTGGTCTACAGAGTGAGTTCCAGGACAGCCAGGGCTCCACAGAGAAACCTTGTCTCGAAAAACCAAAAAAAAAAAAAAAATCTAATGTTTGCCGGGTGGTGGTGGCTCACATTTTAAATCCCAGCACTCGGGAGGCAAAGTTAAGGCCAGCATGGTGCACAGAGCAAACTCCAGGACAGCCAAGGATTCTTAAAGAAACCCTATCTCAAAAAACCAGGAAAACCCCACAGAAAGATCAACAGTGTCAACTAACCTGAACCCCTAGGAGATCCCAGAGACTAAGCCACCAACAAAAGAGGAAGCACAGGCTGGTCCGAGCCTCCCCCCTCCATATGTAGCAGAGGGCTGCCTTGTCTGGCCACAGTGGGACAGGATGCGCCTAATCCTGCAAAGACCTGATGCACCAGGGTTGGGGGATACCTGGGAAGGACTACCTTCTCTGAGGCAAAGGGGAGGGGTGGGACTCTTCAAGGGGGGGTGGGGGGACAGCATTTGGGATGTAAACAAATAAATAAATAAAACAGGGGGGGAATCCTATGTTTTTATAAAATAAAAATAGAAACCCCTTCTTCTTCACAAGAGTCCTGGGAGCGGCTCCTTTAGCTTCTGGTCTCCTTTTTCCTATAAAAGCCTGATGCTGGGCTTGGCACATGATGAGACAGGACCTAAGCTTGCCCCTTAGACGAGAGTGTCCCTACTCATCTGCGAAGATTTCACCATCACAGCTTGGCAGCTAACAGAAAAATTGTATATCATATGTTCAAATCCCAGGCCCACCCCTATGGACCCAACGGCCTTTACCTCTCCTCTTCACCACTGAGGTCACAGTCTGTTATGAAGATTATACAGTTCACTTAACACAGGTAAGTGTTTTTCAAAAGCACCTCACATTAGTGATTGAGAAAGCGTTAGCTTTGTCACTGTAAGAAAGCCCCACAGGCCTTGCTACTGGGCATTTCTCACTAGAGATGAGAAGGGTGGTTAGCCTTCTCATAGACTTCATTTCCCCTTCTTCAACTCTTCCTCCCTCTGTATTCTTCAAAGGCCTGCTGAAGCCCTCTGGATTTCAAATCTCCTTCTGGCCATTTTTCAGGGTCTCCTGTTCAGCACCCAGCATGCACTATTTAAACTGTGCTTACTGACTGATGAGTACCAAGGTCGAGCTATCTTAAACGCCTCTTCACTGCCTTAGGCTGTCACATTCAAATTCAGTCTTGTGTGCCTCAGCTTTCTGTCACCATTACAAATACCCAAGATAAATCAACCTAATAAGGAAAAACAAAACAAAATGGTTTATTTTCTTTAAGGGTCTTGGAGGTTCCAAGGCCAGTTAGCCTGTTACTTTTGGACCTGTGGCAAGGCAGGGCATCATGGTGAGAGCGTGTGTTTGAAAGAAGTTGTTTTACCTTGTGCTGGCAGGGAAGCAAAGAGGGAGAGCAGAAGAGACAAGTACCTGTACCCCTTTCAAGGACTGTGACACCTCCAGTGACTTTTCTCCCACTAGGTCCCACCCCCTAAAGATTGGTACCACTTCCTAACAGTGCCAGGGGCTACTGGTCATATCTTACCACATGGGCCTATGAGGGACAGCTCAAATCCAAGCTATAGCAATAGACTTATGTACTATGTAAGTGTCAACATAGCTTTAATTTAAAATCTTTGGGCTATATTTTCATAAATAAAAATTTAATCTGAGAATGGTAATGTACATTTGTCATCCCAGAATTTAGGGCTGACCCTTGGGGTCAGGAGTTCAAGGCTATTCTGGACTATGGAGTCAGACCTTCACACATTCAAATATAATAATAAAGCTGGGAGTGTGACTCCAGCAGCTGAGTGCTTGACAAGCACACACAAGACTCCAAGTTCAGGCTCCAGCGCTGGATAAACCAGGCATAATCTCAGAATGTGGTAGGTGGGGGAGGGGAGGGGACTCAGCAGGCCAGAGTCATTCTTAGCTACAGGCAAGTTCAGGGCCAACCTGTCCTACAGTCAATCTCCTCCCACCCCCACCCCTCCCCACCCCCCCTCTCTGTCTCTCTTTCTCTCAATAAAAAAATCAGAGGTTCTTAGACCCATATCAGGACTACCCCCCTTTCTGCTTGAACTCAGGACTTCATGGAAAATTTAAGAGCAGCTGTCAGAGGATCCCTGAACATGACAGATGGGACTGGTCACCCAAGCCCCAGACAGATGTCACTTTCCATTTGTCCAGTGTTTTAGCTGCTAGAGATAACCTGGGCCTACCTGGACTATGGGAAGCTAAGTCCAGTCACTGTCTTAGCATGAGGAGGAGGATTCTTTCCCTGAGGAGCAGCCAATCTGCTGAGGACTAAGCCGCCTGCAGATAGGCCAGCATGACTTGTGCAGGCAGGGAAGAGACTATGGCTTCCAAAGGCCAAGAAAGAATGGGTAGGCGTGTGGGACGAGGCTCTTAATTGCTAGCCATGGACCCCTGTGCTGGAAGATTTGACCCAAAGTTGAGTTGACTGAACTAAGTTTTTAAACAGTCTGAAAAGTTGGAGTACATAGCTTAGAAAAAAGGCATCAGGGAAAGCAGGAGAAAAACCTAGCTGCTGTCACCATAAACCAGAGCCGTGGAGAGCTACGCCACCTCTTTGTCCCTCCTCCTCCCATCCTTCCTTCCTTCATTCCCTTTCCTCCTTCCTTCTCCTCTTCCTTCCTCCTTCCTTCCCTCCCTTCATTCCTCCGTACCTTCCATACCGATTCTCTCTGCAAAGTCCAGTATGCCCCCAAACTCATAATCCTCCTGCCTCAGCCTCCTGACACTAGGAGTACAGGCCTGCACCACCATACCAGGCTGTAAGAGACTGTTGTTTGGCATCTGTCCTAGGAGTCACAGGTGACCTCCCTCAAAAGGGAGATGGCTCAGCAGGTAAAGGTGTTTGCTGTCAAGTCGGATTACCTGAGTCCAATCTCCAGGTCCCTTCATGGTAAAGGGAGAAAACCGACACGTAAAAGTTGTCCTCAAACCTCAACATACACACCACGGCTGTAGTGCACACATACATATCTACCTATATGCATATACTCACGTGTGTATGTACACACACACAATCAATCAATGTGCAAACAAATAAATGTGTAAATAAAAAAATTAAAAATAAAACTCACCAGAGAGCCAGGGGTGGCGGTGCACATCTGCAATTCTATCATTTGGGATACGGAGCCAGGAGAATCAGAAGTTCAAAGTGATCTTTGGTTACATATCAAGTTTGAGACCAGTCTGGGATACATGAGACCCTTTTTCAAAAAACATAAAACAAACAAAAACAGAAACAAAACAAAAACCCAGAAACCAAAACTTCCTCAAAGGGAAATTCCCCAGGCAAAGCAAGGAACTTTTACAAGCTGGGTAGCTGTTGTCAGAAACCTACTCAGCCTGCTCTAACAAAATACCATAGACACGGAGGCTCATAGAAACACAAATTTCACAATAATAATAAGCAAATAGACCCAGCTTGCTTGCCTGCTCTCTCTCCCGCCCCCTTCCCCCACCCCCCTCGCCCACACACACATTTATTTCCCATAGCCCTAGAGGCTGGGCACTCCAAGACACAGGTTCCAGCCATCAGCTATCTGGTGAAGGCCACCTCCTGGCTCATAGATGGCGCTGTTTAGCTATGTCTGACATTTGAAGCAAGGAGGACTTTCCACGGGGATCCTTCCGGGATCCTTCCATAAGGGAGATTCCAATCCTGTTCTTAAAGATCTCACCCTCTCCCAAAGACCTCCTCTCTTGATATCGGCTCTTACTTAAAAAAAAAAAATGTAAACAGATTATTTTTTGTTGCAAACTTTCAAAAAAAACCAGAAAAAGACCTATTAATGTAATCTAACCTTAACTTCCCGCCTTTTATTTCCATTGTTTGAAGTTGTTACATTTCATCCAATACTTGCCGCTTCTAAAGCCCGTGGGAATAACTGAGATGCATTAGAGTTTCTTTGGGTCAAATCAATGAATGGTCATGTGTATACATTCAAACCACACGCAATCCTTATAGACCCCCAGGGGCAAGTTTGGGAGAGCCTCATGGCTTACATGCATACATACACATAAGTAAATGTAGTTTTAAAATTAAAGGAAGGGGATATAAGATGTGAGCCTAAGTTGAATCTTTGCAATGACTGTGTGTGTGTGTGTGTGTGTGTGTGTGTATGTAGGGAACAGGGTCTCTAGTTCCTGGCTGTCCTGGATCTCACTCTGTAGACCAGGCTGACTTTGAACTCACAGAGATCGCGCCTGCCTCCGAGTGCTGGGATTAAAAGTGTGAGCCGCCACCTCACACAATTGGATGCAATTATTTTCTACCCTGGCACTCTCAGAAGGACCCCATCCGTGGTAGGAACTGCATGCGCTCTGTTGCAGCCGAGTGCTCCCTGCTTCTCTCTGAACTTCCATTAATGCCTCTCAGTTCTCCTTTAAGCTGTCGCCATCTTCTCAAGTGTGGTCTCTTTGCACTGACAGTGGCATCTGGGTCATTTTCCACATGGGATACTCCACTCCTTCCTGTCCTGCACTCCTGTCCTGTGCCTGGGGCCCCGTCTGCTAGTAGAGGGAAGGAAACTTGATACTGGGTTGAGTTCTTCATTATCATTTCTGGCTGTGAGCCAGCTGAATCTGGAGGGGACTTTTCCTCAGAGGACATTTGAAAAGACCTAGGGACCACAGTTGTGTAAACATTTGTGATGGCTTTAGGGCAATGAGCTTAGAACTCAAAACTAACTCCAAATAAAATTGTTTAACCACCAAAGAGACCAAATCTCAGAACTGCAAATAAAATAAACCAATCGAAAGCAATCTCTTTTGGTTGGTTGTTTGTTTTTGTTTGAGATAAGGTCCCGTTATATAGCCCTGGCTGGCCTGGAATTCCTACTATAGGCCAGGCTGGCCTTCAACTCATAGTGATCTACTTGCTTCTGTCTTCTGAGTGCTGGAATTAAAGGCATGTGTCACTACACTTGACCTAACGTCATTACATTGATGGTTGGAATACTTTCATTACAGGGAAGCTGGGACGAGTGGGTCCCTGTCACTCACTGTTCAGCCTGTTGGCCCTAATTGGTGAGCTCCAGGCTAATGAGAGACCCTATCCCAAAGGAAACATGGTTTTCTTGAGGGTTAGCCTCTGAACTATACATGCACCTATCCACCCAAGTATGTACGCATGCACCAGTGTGTTCATCTCAATGCATGAGTTTGAGGGGACAGAAACACCCAGTCCATTAAAGCAGCAATGCTGTGACCCAGAAGCATATGACCTAAGGAATCAGAAAGCAGTGACCTAAAAGACTGAAGGCCAGGAGTGACATCCGGGCTCAAGAAAAAGTAAGCAAGTATACCCTCATTCAGCAAGACCAGGAGTATGGCAGGACCCTGGGAAATGTGTTCAACAGTCCTGGGGACAGAAGGAAAGAGGTCAGGGGTCCCACTCGGGATTTGGACTATGAACAAGGGTCTGGGAGACTCAGGGGCTTTGAGAGGCAGCACTCACCTAAGGATCTACCAGAACCTTCCAGACCAGCTCAGGACACCAACCAGCCTTTGTCCTGTCTCCTATTAGTGCCTTGGGGTTCTAAGCAAGTGTTTCTTAAAGCCAGACAGCCAGACTCCTGCTGCCAGGTATCCCTACTGAAAGTGGTCACCTGGTCACCTGATCACCTGGTCACCTGTGTCTTCCCTGCTAGAGGTCATAAGTGGAAGCAGCTGCGACAATTTGGCTCAAGCAGCTGAGGTTAGCAAGGGTGGGGGAGGGGAGGTGGAACCTCGAAGTGTTTGGTAGCCTGGATCTGGTCTCTGGGGATGTGAGCAAAAGAGGACATTTCTTAGGTGTCTGCTACACTAGGGCAGCACAGCACATGCTCACACACATGCATGTGCACACACACACACACACACACACACACACGCATACCCGTTTAGTATTTACATTGCCATTACAGTTGTATTAAGCGCTGGCACCATCATATCTTCTGAATAACTCCGGCCCAAGGTTCCTCATTTTTCCTTTCCAAAACAGGTTTTGTTGCCTGCCCCAAATTACCCAGTAGGAATCTGGAGACTAGGATGCAAACCCAGGCCCAGGCTTATGACACCCAGAGGAAGCCTTGGAAGGGAAGGAGAAGGCCAGTGCTGCTGAAACCACCCACAGCATGTTCCAGTCCATCCCAGGGGGACTTGACCCATTCTGAGGCAGAGGGGTGTGACTTGCAGACCTGAGTCAAAGACTACAGCTAGTATGTGAAATCCTTTGGGAGGAAGCCCTGAACTAGCTCTACTCTGAGACTCTCTCCTTGGGGAGGCTCTAAGTCTCCAAGGGCAGGGGAGAATTCATTCCAGAGGCTGCAGTCCACCTGTGGCTGGCTGTGTCCATGAAGCCACTTGAATCCTCTGATGGCTTCATCTCTTAGCCCCAGCAACCACCAGTTCTGTCATAGACAGGCAAGTCATCCATCAGGAGGCGCCTGGGCAGAGCATGCCAGGGTTCTCTGTAAGCTCCATCACCTGCTCCACCTTGCTGCCAAGACTGGTTCATATCCTGTGGCATCTATTATGGGGCTCTGGAGTCAACAGCTTTATCCATAGGTGGAGAAAATTCTCAATACTTTACAGTGGGATAGAGCGGCTTGCCTTTGTATAAATAAGTACAAAGGCACAGGCACATACAGGAAGCGACTTGCCCTACAGTAAACTCTTTAAAGTCAGGGAGTGTGTCTTGCTGCTCTTCAGGTGTCCCTGTCAGCATGAAACCCAATCTCCAGGCACACAAGGCCACAAAAGCTGTTTTGACGGGTGCTCAGAATCTTGACTGGAAAGTCCTCGAGGACGTTTGATAACTGCGGGCTAAACGGCTGTAAGCGGGATGTGTGGTTTGTTTTCTGACAGTGGCATCTCTTCTGCATTCTCCTTTCTAGCACACCAACCCCTGACCCACCCACAGGCTCATTGCTGGCCCCACCTCCATGTCCCCCAGTTCATGCCAGATGCTGCTCGGCTTTGCCAAGCATTGATTCCCTCCCCACCTCAGGCCAGCCCCCAAGGAATCGCATGGCAACCCCACAGGCTAATTTCTCAGTTGCTTTATTGAGTAGCGAGATGAGGCATCATCTCCTGTGGGACATGTGTCCTCAAGCTGGTACAAGAAGTGCTTGGGGACAGAGTGACAGACAGGTGGTGGGGCAGGGCAGGTGTCTGCTGCTGTGATGGGCTGAGGACACCAGGGGCAGCTCAGCTCTCCAGAGGTTTGGGCTCCACCTGCTCCTGGACCTGCTCCGGGAGGGGGAGGGCTAGGGGCTGGTCGGGGCTTTCCTTTTTCTCCAGGGTGCTCATAAAGGCGCTGACCCTTTCCCTCAGGCTCTTCTCCAGGAAGCTTAAGTGACTCTCCACGTCCCCCGACTCGGAACCCAGCTGCTGCCTGAACTGCTCCAGCTGCTGCACCAGAGCCTTGTTGAACATCTCCCCCATGGGCTCCACAGTGCGCCGGAACTCCTCCACCTGCTGGTCCAGCTGCCTGTTCAGGTCTTCCAGAGACTTCTGCAGCCCCTCCGTGTTGCCCTTCAGCTTGCTTTGCACGTCTTCCACCAGCGGGGCAAGACTCTTCTGCAGCTGGTCGACTTTTGTGGAGACCTTGGTCTGGAGCTCCTCTGCATTCTTCTTCATCTGGAAGGCCAGGCCCTCCATCTGATGGTTGAGTTTCTCCTGCACGCCCACCGCAAGAGGACCCAGGCTGCTGCGCAGATCCTCCAGGTTCCGGTCGATCGTGGCCTTCAGATCGTTGGCCCGAGGGGTTAGGTGCCCCTTGAGCTCTTCCATATTCCTGTTAAACTTGTCCTTTAGCTCGTTGGCAAAGGGCATCATCGAGCCCTGCAGGTTGTCCATATTCTCCTGTATCGTGGTCTGCATGCGCTGGATGTAGGGGGTCAGCTGGACCTTCATCTCCTGGGTCTGGGTTTTGAGCTGATCTTGTAGGTTTGTGGCATAGGGCTTCAGGTGCTCCTGCAACTTCTTCATGTTTTCACTGAATGTCTGGCTTACTGTGCTGGCATGGGGCATCATGCTGGCACGAAGGTCCTCCAGCTCCTTCCGGAGCTCTTCCTTTATCCTCTCGGTTTCCTTGGTTAGACTTCCACTCAGCTGGACGGCAAAGGGCACCAGCTTGTTTTGCAGGTCATCGGCATACGTATTAATGTTCCCAAGTTTGTCCTGGAAGAGGGTACTTCAGGGAAAGGATGCAGAGAAGAAAGTACCATTAGGTACGCTTGTAGAACACTCAGTTCTACACATCTGCCTAGGTCAGGAGTCTGTCCACGGGAATAGAGACCTCCACCTTGTCCCTTTGGCCCTCCCTTGGGGTAGGTCATGCTTTCGGGAAATCTCTTAGGATTAGTTTGACTTTGGAGTTTTATCTGCAAGGTTTCTGCTGAGCCTCTGCATCCTTATCTACCCACCATGTGACTTGAGAAGTTTGCTTTCCTTTCCTGTGGATTAAGACTGGGACTGGACTTTGACATCCCTCTCAGCCCAGGGTCACATTGTGCAACACATGTCTTCCAGTGGCACAGGGTCGGTCTGATGTCCTTGCATGTGCTCAGTGGGTCCCCAGAAATACCAGCCTCCCTTCCCCTGGTTGCCCAGGCAGCTCATGCCCTTTTGGGACATGTTTCCCTCCTCTGTCCAAGATTTTCTGATGGGATTTGGCTATTTACCAATCTCTAGCACATGAAGATAGGAAGATACTATAGGGATGGATCTCTGGGTCCAGCTTCCCCGTTTACAGGGAGGATCCAGGTCCAGGGAGACAAGACTCTTTTAGTGAGGACAGATGGACTCCAAGGGCTGGGCAGTGGTGGCGCATGCCTTTAATCCCAGCACTTGGGAGGCAGAGGCAGGCAGATTTCTGAGTTTGAGGCCAGCCTGGTCTACAGAGTGAGTTCCAGGACAGCCAGGGCTATACAGAGAAACCCTGTCTCGAAAAACCAAAAAAGAAGAAGGAGGAGGAGGAGGAGGAGGAGGAGGAGGAGGAGGAGGAGGACTCCAAGGACCACCTTTGAGGTCAGCTTTGGGCTTCAAGAAGGCCTAACCTTGCAGACTGATCTATCCACTTACTTGAGCTGCTGAGTGACATCTGTCTTCTGAAGTTGTTCCATAGCCTCCTTGGCATTGTTGCTTATCTGAGTAAAGTAGTCCCACATCACATTGGCCACCTGGTCCGAAGTGACCTCAGCCCGGGCTCCTGGGCAGAGAGCAGAAGGCAAGTAATTTATAAGGATGCATCTTGCTCCCGGTCCCTCTGCCTCAGCTCTGAGCTGGATGATGTTGGAGTTTGGATAACCCAAACTATTTCCCCATTCCTGGGATAACCCAGGGAGCACAGGCCAGGGAAAACAAAGGCCTGTCCTCCTATGAGCTGCTGGACAAACACGAAACTGTCCTGAGCTGTCCACCAGTTCTAGAGGGGGCTTTTCTTGCTACCTCTCACAGGCTACAGCTGCTGGAGAGCAATGTCTACTCACCGGTGAAGGCCACCAGGGCCAGGGTCAGTACCGCAGCCTTCAGGAACATCCTGGGCTCCTCACTGGGCTGGGACAGTCTCAGCTACACGGGATGCTTCCTGGAGTCAGAAGAAACGGTTCACCTGTGTTGCCGTGAAGATTGACTGCAGGCAAGGCCAGCCACTCATTTAAAGCCCCTCCAGCCCTCTCTCCCCGCCTCCTCCTCAGTGTGACTCCACGTTGGAGGGTGACACACTCCCAGGAGGCCTCTTGGACTTTAGTGACCCTAAGACAACGTGGAAGCTGACAGCTCACAGGCAGCAGAAGGAAGCAGTCTTGTTGGGTTGGCTCCACCCTGTCCAAGAGGCTGGGAAGGATAGCCAGAAACTCCAGCCTGGGAGTCTAGGGGAGTCCCTGAGCAGAACTGTGGCCCCAAGGGCCCTGTTGGCAGCCCTGGGTCTGTGCTAGTCTGGGAGAACAAGGTCCAGGTCTTCTCTCTCCACTGCAATGAGACAGCCTCCACTCTGACCGCTGCCACCAACCCTAACTCTGTCTCAGAACATCAGCTAGAGATTGTACCAGGCCCAGAGATGGCACGGGGCTGCAGCAAGCAATGACCATCAATTTAGGTGTCTGTGACACCCTTGGTCAGGAGAGGATCAGAACCCAGGATCAAAGTGTGCTTTGTGTCTCATGACTGTCAAGTTAGGTCACCTCGGTCTAGTTATCTGAAGCTTCAAGTTTCTCCTTTGAACCATGTGTAGTTTGTAACATTAAAGTATGTGGTACTTGTGAAATTGGTGTGGGGGCTTAGCCCAGAGTAAGGGTTGAAACTAATGACAATGATTTTCTGTGTGTGTCAGCGCTAGGAAGGTAGGAGAGAACACCGCCCTCTCCTGATGGTGGCAGAGGGAGAGCCACTCTTTTCCTCAGAGGGTCACCAAGTGGGCTAGAGGCAACAGTGAGAAAGTGGGGCTGGCTAAGGCCTGATTGCTGTCCCACTGTCCCCAGCCATATGCAAGAGCCTCCATATAGAATGATATCTCTCTCTCTCTCCCTCTCCCTCTCCCTCTCCCTCTCCCTCTCCCTCTCCCTCTCCCTCTCTCTCTCTCTCTTTGAAAGAAGGTGACAGACACTACTGTGGAAAGTGAGTTTTTTGACCTCCTACTGAAACTCCAAATGCATTCACACATACAATTGCAGAAGAGATCCACAGGAAAGGTGCCGGGCTGTGGAGAGTGTGGCACCTCCTCGGTGGACCACACCAGGGACTAGATGATGACACCCATCATACTGTCTCACTGACTGCTGTACACAAGACAGCATTTGTGAAATGACAGCCATTAGAATAGACCGCCACTGTGCCCAATCTGATTTGCTGTGTTGCCATCCATTTTTTTTTAAATGTGTCCAGATTGGCTTGTCTCATGGGACTGAAGACAGCTGAACACCTACCCTCCTCTTCTGGGTCCCACTACTCTGTGCTGCTCCCCACGCTGCTCTAGCCTCCCCGAGTGGCCAGGAGCTCACTCCTTCCTAGAGTAGCCATGTTTAGTGAGTTTTAAAAAATTAACTTATGCCAGGTGTGGTAGTGCATGCCTTTAATCCCAGCACACAGGAGGTGGAGGCCAGCAGGTCTCTGTGAGTTCAAAGACAGCTTAGTCTACAAAGTGAGTTCCAGGAAGCTAGGGCTACACAGAGAAACCTTGTCTCAAAAAAACCCCCCAAAGCAATGATAATAATACTCTTATTTATTTCCTAATATCTGGTGGGGGGTGAGGATGCATCTCCACACGTGAATAGAGGTCAGATGGGAACTGGAGATGTCTGTTCTCTCCTCCTACCGTTTGGTTTCCACGGCATTAAACTGATGTCATCAGGCTGGGTGACTTTGCGCACTGAGTCATCTTGGTGGCTTTTCAGTGTTTTCTGAGTTCAGGCTCTAGAGTCGACTCCCTGCGCTTGCATCTGGACTCCACACAGTATGTGCCGTGTGGTTTTGGATGAGTCTTGTTGCAAAGATTCCGTGAGATAATCTGGCTTCCCGTAGGTGTTCGTTGAATATTAGCTATGTTTTGCCTCAAAAGGTTTGTCTCTCTGTACCGTTGACCCATTGATTCTCATCTTGCTTTGTCTAATCAGGCCTGGTCCAGCCTGTGCTGGGCCCAAAGGTCAGAACCGATGGGGGATGAGTCACCTAGGACACCTCAACTACAGCTCCACCTCTTGGACCTGCAGACTGAGTACCAGGCGCTATCAGCGTGGGACAGGTCCAGAGGTACTTGCCCATTCGTACCCTCTCTGAGAAGACCTGTGTTACCTAAGTTTGTTCAAGAGTGGTTGCCAGTGATGGACTGTCTGATATGCATATATATCTGAGTTGTCCATGGGCACGGAACTTGGCTCTGAGCTAAGGGACATCGTGCACACATGTGTGCTCAGCACTCACGTAGGCACCAGCCACTGTAGGGAGGTTGTACCGCCTCCTGGCATGTCATAAATTGTCGTATTGACTTCTCCAAGACTGGGGCATACTTCATAAGCATCTGCTGGTAATTTGCATAGGGGCTGAGGCAAAATGAGAACTGGGAAAAAGAACAGACTACGTTATAGCCAGTCTTGGGCACAGAGGATCAAGTGGTCTTGGCCTCACGTCCCTGTCTGATCCTCAGTCTCCTCACCTGTGCTCATATAGAGCTCGTGGCCAGTAAGGGATAGCTGTACCCCATCTCTATCTGGCCATACAGGATCTCAGTAGAGCCCTGGGACTCTCATCTACCCAACCTGTTGTTAGCCAGAAACAGGCTGGCCATCCACTCCTGAGGGCCGTTCTCAGCCCAAACATTGAAGACATCTTCCACACTGTGGTGGTTAATTTTAACTGTCAATTTGACAGAATCCTGAATCACCTGAGAGAGGGGGGCGGGGCCTTTGGATGGGAGGACCCCAGACTATACAAAAGGAAGAAAGCAAGCCGAGCTGAGAGCTGGCATCTCATGTCTCTTTGCTGTAAATGTGATGTGACCAGCTGTTTCATGTCCCTGCCACCATGACTCCCCACATGGGAGTCAGGATAACCCCTCACTTTGTTTCCATCAGGATATTGTATCATAGCAACAGGAAAAGAAATTATGAAACTCTTCCACTGCTGATTCCTCCATGGCACTGGGTCTGTAAGGTTTTCTCCCAAGAGGACCTTAGGCCAGAAAGCCACCAGGAGGCCTCTTAGGGCTCCTATGGCCGAGAGGGCACAAGTGTTTTGGAAGGGACTAAGTTCCAGAACCCAGGTTCCAAGGTATCACCTGCATGCCAGCTAGTATGTGGGGTTCATACAGCGAAGTTCTCTGTGCTGCTAAGTGTCACGTGGCTGGGATTCTCTATCAGCATCTTTTGACTTTTCTTGATTCAGTGACCATGTTCTATACAGGGGAGATGGCAGGCTTCTCAGACCCCCCTTACCAATGGGAAATGACCCAGTCAGCCTATTCACATCATTCTCAAAGCCAAGGGCTTGGTATCACATCCCAGATTGGGATCTGATCCCTAGTGTGCCCTTTGTCTAGGAACAAGAAACAGTCTGAGAAGAAAGAAAGAACATAACAGCTCCCTCTACCACACACAGTGCAGCTTCACCAGGGACTTTTCTCAGAGGAATCTTAGGTATAAATGGGTGCCGAGGACCAGCTCAGGTGCTGGGATCCAGCTTTTCCACTGCTGGGTGGTATGTGCTGAGCAGGCCTCTACCCACTGGGCCTTTGGTTTTTAGCCATAAAATGGAGTGAGTAGTGTCTAAGTTAGATAATTCGGACAACTTACATTTTAACAGAAAACAAATTGTTCTGAGACAGAGTCACATTATGTGGTCTAAGCTGGCCTCCAGCATGATTTTCCTAAGTGCTGGACTCGTAAGCAAACGCTCTTGTAGCTACCCCAGACACCAGTCTTACATCAAAAGATGAGTTTAGAGTCTCAGCCAAAGACAGAGCTTGAGAGTTCAGAGGGGAGAGCCAGGCTCCTTTCTCAGGCTGAGATTTTGTTCAGAGAGGTTTCTGCCTACAGCAAGCCCTGTTTCTTCATGGAAACCTCCTGCTGCTTCTTGTTAGGCTGTCAGCCTTTGGGAAGTGGGGAAACTGAGTCCTTCCCTGAGCCAGCTGCTGTGTTTCTCCACACTCTGGGAAATCAGTGTCCCATCCCGTTAACTCCTGACCACAGACCCTATGAGTCAGTGTCAAGGGCATCAGTTGCTTCTGTGTTTGTGTGCAGGTGTGTAGGCATGTGTGACGTGCACCCCTGTGGAGGTCAGGGGTCAGTTTCAGGTATTATTCTTCAAGAACTGTTCACCAAGTCTCTCAGTGGTATCTGGGGCTCACTGAAGAGGCTACACTGGCTGGCTATCAACTCCTGGCCTGCTACCTAATTCCCTATCCCCAGTGCTGGGATTACAAGGGGACATCACCTCAGTTACGCTGTATATGGGTATTGGGGATTGAACTATGATCTTCCTACTTACAAGAAGAGCATTTTGCCCAACTGGCCTATTTCCCCAGTCCCAAAGGTAGCGTTAAATCTAGGATTTTCCCAGGTAGTGGCTCACACCTATAATCCCAGCATTCAGGAGGCAGAGGCAAGCAGATTTCTGAGTTCAAAGCCAGCCTCGTCTACAGAGCTAGTTCCAGGACAGCCAGGGCTACACAGAGAAACCCTGTCCCCGCAAAAGAAAAAAAAGAAGAAAAAGAAAAAAACTAAAGAAATAAAACCAACCAACTAAACAAACAAACAAAAAACCCAAAACCTGGGATTTCTTGGCTCCAAAGACTGCATCCAGAAGACAACGTCTTCTGATGCTGCCTGACTAGACTGTGGGTCGCAGAACTAGCTCAGGGGACATCTTAGTTGCCCCCGAGCGCCTTCTTCATCCTCACCTTCTTTGTGAATGGCTTTTCTATACCTTGCTGCATGCAGGCTCTCACAACCAGGGCTTATGTTGGGGTCAGATCTCATCCAGCCATGGGCCCTGCTCCTGTCTCAGGATTCCTAACAAGGAGTCCAGAGGGCAAGAGGAGGCCTGTGGAGGAGGTGGGGGAGGAGCAAGGCCTTAGGTTTCATTTGACCTTTGTCCTTCTCTCACTAACCCCTGCCCAGCTACAGCAGAGGAGACTGTTGGGAACACAGCCAAGACTGGAGGCCGCAGGTGGAGGTCGGGGTGGGGATATGTGACCTTCACTCTGTCACCTCTCACCCCACTTCTGCCATTGTTCCATGCTGGAACCACAGATTCTCTCATTTTATTCTACTGTAAGGCTTTCAGGTGGCTTCTGTGAAGGAGCCTGTCACTGGCTCCAGGCTGTTGTTTGGGCTTTGGTGGGAGAGATGGGTCTGGATAGTCAAGTGTGAAGGGCTAAAGCGGGCCTGAGGTCCAAGGCTTGTCCCTTGTCTTTTCCTGTCTCACCAGCCTTATCTAGGTGAGCCAGTAGCTGACCCCTTGGTTGTGGAGGTGGGCGTGAAAAGCACGGACAATCTCAGAGGGATTTCTCAACTCCTCTGGCAGCTGGCTGCATGGCCTTCCTGCCTCAGGCTCTGGTCTGGACTGTTCAGCAGGTGACCTTTGACCAGCTCACTGGGCCTTCTGTGCCTGCTGTCCCATCCTGGAGCCAATATAAAACAGGTCAGAGGCCTCCTCACTTGCCTGCTCAGTTTTATCCCTAGAAGCAGCTAGCTACTCCAGGTAATGTCCCTGGGGAGAAGAGGAAGGAGGCGTGGAGACAAAGAACTGGAGGAAGCTCTTGCCACTCAGCCAGCTAGCCCACAGAAGGGATTCATGGCCTCCACCTTTGGGTTCCTGGTGGGTGGGAAAGGGCTAGAAGCTGAGGAAAGGGAGGCCACTGGAGCAAAAGCCTTGCACTGGGTAGAGGCAGAGCTGACTGGATCAGCATGACTGGGTCATGCTGTCCCTTGTTTGGCTTGCTCTGAGCTATTAGAAGTCTTTGGTATCCATGCTTCCCCCAGACTGAGAAACTGAGGCCTAGAGAGGAGAAGAAACTTGTTGTTTCTCAGCTTATCAGGGCAGAGAATGGGTAGGTGTCCTACTCTGCAGAGGATTTCTGTACTCCACCTTCCACCTTACCTGGGGGCCTGGGTCGCCTGTGGTTCTCTGTCTGAGAGCAGATATCAATAGGAGAAAGGCTTGGGATTCATGACCCAGGGGCTATGGCATTCTCTAGGGAAGGGCCTAGAAGTGACAGAGCCACAATTCCCTCTCACAAGATGGTCTCTCTCAGGTGCGTAGGTGCCATGCAGCCCCGGACGCTCCTCATTGTGGCCCTGGTGGCTCTCCTGGCATCTGCCCGTAAGCTGGTGGGAGTGGGGCTGGGGTTTCTGTGGGAGCTGGTCTGGGGACCCTGCCCCCATAAGCCATGGCTGGACAGGAGCTGAGGGCTGACAGAGCTCAACTCTGCTCTGTTTCAGGAGCTGATGAGGGCGATGGATCCTTGCTGCTGGGCTCTGTGCAGGGCTACATGGAACAAGCCTCCAAGACGGTCCAGAATGCACTAACCAGTGTGCAGGAGTCTGATTTAGCCATGGTGACCAGGTATGCACACTGGCCTCCTTTCCTGTGTCCTCTCCTTTCCTGCCCTGGTGTTGAGACCCTGGCACAGAGACTATGGCCCACCAAGTTTACCAGGGCCTGGGGCCTGTCTGAGCCTCTGGTCCCTCATGGGGCCTTTGCTGGGTGCTGTGACTAAGATGACAGGCAGGGCAAGCAGGCTTCCACTATATCTTCTGCTTCTCCTCAGAGCAGTCTGAGGAGCATTTAGCTTTGCTGCAGGTTTTCTTCTCTGAGTGTAGGGTAGAGGGTGTGCTCTGGGAGACCTACCTGCTCTGGTTTCTGCCTGCATGCAGTGGGTAGGGGTGGGAAGTGAGGAGTCGGATGGGAAGGTAGGGGGTCAGGGATGAGGGGTCTGCCCTGTTTCCCATCCCTGGGCTCAGTCTAGTTAGGCATCTTGGCCACTCTGAAACATCACCCTCTGGCCAATGGTTTTGGCTGACGTTTGATAGTTACCTATGTAGCAAAAGATGTTGGCAGTCTCCATCCCCAGGACAGGCTGTGGGGAGGATATTATACACCCAGTTTCGCAGAAGAAAAAGAATTACGTAACCTGGCCTAGATCACACAGCTTAGAAGCCATCCAGGAATGTTTCAAATGAGAGACTGGCCCCCTTCTGCCCCACCCACTCAGAGCCACAGATGGGACGCCTCAAGGTTACTATTTGTATGGTCTACAAAGGCAGGCTGACCTTAGTATCTACCTCCCCAGGGCTTGGTGCCTCAGGCCTGAAAGATGGGAGGCAACGAGGGTCTTATCCAAACTTGATGAAGGTGGGGTTTCTTAGGGTGCTCCTTCACCATCTCTTCCGCTCTGAGTAGCTGGAGGTGGTTCTGGGGTGATGCTAGGTAAGGTGGTGCTGGTGGCTTAGGGGGCCAGTGGAGCCCTGGGGGAGTCCTGGGTCTAGCTGACTACAGGGGATCTTTTCACACACCCTCCCCTATGGATGCCTCTTAACTGCTTTAACCCCTAGGGGCTGGATGGACACTCGCTTCAGATCCCTGAAAGACTACTGGAGCAAGTTTACTGACAAGTTCACTGGCCTCTGGGATTCTATCCCTGAGGACCAACCAACTGAGCCGTGAGACGTCTATGTTCCAAATGTACCTGTTTATCCATCCTGCTGGACCCCCTCCCTCCCCCCAGGCCTGTCAGGTGGCCCCTGAAGGTTGCTTTAAGGGGAAAGAAAGTATATTCTCATGTCTTCAGCCCTCCCCAGGCCTCACCTAAACATGCTAATAAAGTTGCATAAGACGCTGCCACGAGTGGGTGTCCCATGTGCCTTGACATCTGGGCATGGGAAGGAGCTAGGCCTGTGGAATGGGTGGACCTGGGGCTGTAGATCTTCTACCTCTTTGGTGGTCTCTGGGGTGCTTCTTCCTTTGTAAGTAGGACTAGCTCTGCTTCCCCGCTTGATTTGACTGGTTTATGTGAAAGAGCAAATAGGGTAACAGACTTGCAATTACAATCTGTGATAAACCTGTCAACTGTGGGACAAGGTGGCCAGTGGGACTAGAGTGTAGTATCTGTCTAGCTAGCATGTTTATGTCACCTCTAGGCTTAAGGTCAAATATGATCACCAAACCCGTGCAGCTGGTTTGCAGGGCCCGGGCTGCCTGGCCCCTTTAAACACGCCGAAAGGACGGAGGCAGGCCAGGAGGCTGGTTGGATAAGTCTCAACCCCACGGGATCATAGCTCTCTCCATTTCTTATGAATAAAATGGGTACAATCTGCCCCTCCGATGAAGGTTTGTTGTGGAAGTGGAATGGTAGCGTCTAAAAGCAGGAGGCTCTGCCTCTGCACACCCCTTGCAAACAGTCCTCACTGGGATAGCTACACTGGGTCACCTCCTAGACTGGAATGGAGACCCAGTGTCCTCAGACTTCCAAAGGGGCTGTTGATTATGCTTCTACCACCCCTCAACACTCACTTCAAAGAGACCTGGTGTCACAAAATAGGTCTTGCCCATCATAGAAGGAAAGACCAATGTTCAGAGAGTGCCAGTGGCTGCCCTGTCTCAAGACCAAGCACACAGCAGGGCCAGCTTTCTGTTTTCCACTTTGCTGGCATGGGAAAAGCCTCTGCTAGGTGTTGGAGGCTCCTGTCCAGACTGCATAGGTACAACCAGCAGACTGGGCTATGCTCTCTCTCTCTGGAAATCCATCAGGGGTTTCTCCTCCTGTCTGCCATGAGCCAGAAGTCTCAGCGTCCACACCTGGAAACCTTCCTACTCAAACCTGGCTTAATGTCTAATGTGACTCCTCATGGTTGTGGATTTAAAAAGCTGCCCCTTTATCCAGGGGCTCATGAAGATACACCGGGGATGGAGAAAGACTCTCCAGATGGCTGAAGACCGCCTGCATACCAACACAGGCATGAAGAGGGGCCAGATGAGAGAAAGGCTGCTTGAGTGAGAGTGTTTCTGCATGTATCCTCATTCTCGTGAACATGAGTGCTTGGTTACACCTAAAAAATATTAAAAAAAAAAAAGTAATTGTGGGTGCTCATAGCAGGCTAATCAAAATAACAAACAACCCGGGCTTGGCATGTGGCTCAGGTGGTAGAGTGCTTGCCTAGTATGCACAGAGCTCTGGGTTCGAGTCTCAGCACAGAATAACAGTGGTGGGTCATCCTTGTAACCCCCCGCCCCAGTACTTGGGAGATGGAGGCAGAAAGATCAGAACTCATCTGAGTCCAGCCTGGGCTACTGGAGACACTGTCTCCAAATAAAATGAATACGTAAGTAAATAAATAAGGCCTGGCAAGATGGCTTAGCTAGTAGAGGCACTCGCTACCCTAATCCTGGTGACCTGAGTTTGATCTTTGGGACCCACATGGTGGAAAAAGAGAACGGGTATCTGCACGTTGGCCTCTGATGATCTCCACACACGTTCTGTGGCACATGAACACACACACACACATATACACACACACTAAATAAGTCTAATACAAATTTAAATATTTTAAATTACTCTTCTTTATATTTGTGGGGTGTGTGTATGTGTGTGTGTATATATGTGTGTGTGTGTGTGTGTGTGTGTGTGTTTGTATCTGTGTGTGTGTGTCTGCCAAGCACTGAACTCAGGTCCTCAGGCTTCTGCAAGTGCCTCTACCTGATGAGCCACCTTACCAGCCCAATGTAATAAAAGGGTTTGTTTTGTTTTTGTTTTTGTTTTTTTAAAAAAAGGACTAACAACACATCCTGATCCACCTTTCCTGCAGTGGTTAACTTGGGACCTCTCAGCTCAGCTTTCCCAGTTGATGTGGACTTAAAGGCCGTCCTTCAGGATTTACACATGGATATGAAGGTCTCTCTAATAAATGTGTGATGAACAGCATCCGGAAGTGGGTTGTTTGTTTGCTTGTTCGTTTGTTTTTGTACCCAGCTGTCAGGTAGAGCGGCTGCAGCCCGCCAGGTTCTGGATGAGGAAACCCCTGTGCCGGTGTGCGAGGGGGAAAGGTAAAAAGGGAATTGTTTGCTGACAGGTTTGGGGTGAGTGACTGCGAGTGGGTTAAGCTCCGGGCATTTTATTAGCACCCACCCAATAATTCAAGTCTCTATGGCTCCTAGAGGAATCCTGGCTCTAGGGAGTGGAAGAGACTCCCATTACGTACCCTGTGGACCCCACCGGGAAAACACTTCTAGCATAAGAAACCAGTCCTCTCAAAGCCAGTCCTATTCCCAGCCACTCCCAACCTGGGTTACAGCACTAGTGGTCTGAGCCTCTGTGGGGCCCTTTTGGGGTTCCTTGTTGCTTTGCCTGACCATCCATATCCCTCTGAGCCTTCTTAGGAAGGGATTCTGTCTCATACTCTAAACCAGCCAGGTGCCCAGCTTGAGTGAGCTTGAAGAGTTGTGAAGTCGCGTATAAAGGAATCCTCACTGAAGCACATGTCCCCATGTCCCTTGATGTCCCCTTAGCGCCCTCCCTATGTCCCCCAAAGAAAGAAGCTATTCCACTTTGGAAAGGTTTATTGTAAGAAAGCCAATGCAGGGGAGGGGAGTGGAGGCGGGCGCCTCACCAGGAGGACAGCTTCTCGCTGGCCTTGTCGACTGCATTCTTGACTTGGGTCTTAAGTGTTTCCAGCATGGGCACCAGGCTATGGGTCAGGTCCTGCAGCGCGGGTGTGGCTTTCTCGCGAATTGCCTGCAGGTGGTCCTTGGCCTTGGTGTGGTACTCGATCAGGGTAGGGTTGTCCTTGAGCTCAGCCAGGCGCTGGGCCAGGTCCTCGCGCAACTTGTCGCCGTGGGGCGCTAGCTGTACGCGCAGCGAGTCAACGCGTTGGCGTATGCGGTCGCGAAACTCCTCCGCCAGAGGGCCGAACTTCCCTTGCAGCTCCTGCAGTTTCTGGCGCGTGCTCTCGTGCAGCTCGGCGCACAGAGGCTCTACCTTCTGGCGGTAGAGCGCCACCTCCTCTTGCCAGTTCTTCTGGAATTCATCCAGGAAGGGCTGCACCTTTTGCTTCACATCCTCCACCTCCGTGTTCATCACCTGTTTTAACCCATCTGCTTTTTTTTCCAGTTTATCCCAGAACTCCCGAGTCACTGGACCCAGCTGTTCCTGCAGTTGACCAGCGGTTGAACCCAGAGTGTCCCAGCCATCCAGGAGTTTCAGGCTAGAAGGGGAGAGAGAGCGACTGGGAGATGGTCCCAGGTAAATCAGGTTCCCTTAGCAGGCATCCTGCACTGCCCCTGGTCTGCAGATCCATGCACGTGATACCTGGGGCCAGGCCTGGGTGCCACCTGTCCCCAAATGTGCAGTTGCTATGATCCTAGTTTCCCTGACCATTCAACCCTTTAATTCCCTGCCCTCCCTTTACCTAAGGCACCAAGAACACAGATGGGGTTGGCACCCGTTGCAAGGCTAGTCTCATTTGTGTGTGTGTGTGTGTTTATGCTGTCTGACCAGTACTGGGTGTTACTAGGGAAAAGGGATTTTGCACTCATAGGCTGAATAAGGGGCTGTGGTTACCCAACAGCCAGATGGATCCCATCCCAAGTCCTGCCATTGGTGGCTTGCTGGTAGGAAAGCAGGTAAAGGTCTAGCCAGCTCAGTTACAGCATCTTCTTACAGGTCTCTGCCCACCCTGGATGGACAGCTCTATTCCAGGCCCCACGCTAGGTCCTTCCTTACTTCAGCTGTTTGCCCAAGGCGGAGGATTCAAACTGGGACACATATTCTCTGCCGCCATCTTTGACCGCATCCATATACAAAGTAGCGATATCCTTCACTTTGTCCCATTCAGATTGGGGTTCATCTTGCTGCCAGAAGACCCGAGCCTGGCTCCCTGGGGATGGAGGGGAGATCCGTGTGTTAAGTCAGCTCTGGGCTGAGGCCTGAGCTGAAATGCCAGACTTGGAGTCAGGGAGAAGAGCAGTGGGAATTCTGTTCTCTGTGCCCAGGGAGGTAGTCCATGGAGGCCAAGAGGCACCTACCTGTCAGGAAGACCAGAGCCACTGCCAGCACCACAGCTTTCATCCTGAAGGGTGTGAGTGACCTGAAGAAGAAGGAGGAGGATGAGGAGGAAGAAGAGGAAGAGGAGGGGGACTGGGCTGAAGGGAGGCACTGTCATGGAGAGGCTCCACACACATTCAAGCCCGTGGAAGAATTCTCTAGAGTGGGAAAAGGTGCCGGATAACCATGGTATTGGTTTGGACAGAGGAGGGTCAGCTGGGAGGCCCTGGGGAGCTAGAGTAGACTACGGTAGCACTTACCTCTCTGGAGCTCTCTGACAGTCTGGGTGTCCAGCTCTCCTTCCCTGACCTATATATGTGTGTGAGCAGGGGCTGGGCCGGGACACTGATAAGCTCGCCCTGGTCCCGTCACTGCTTACTTTTGCTGGCGATGTGGAACTTAGAGTTCAAGGATCAGCTCTGGTCCTGAGGCTGGGCAAACAGAGTGGGCAAACAGGAAGCTGCGGGGGCTGCAGAGCTGGGAGCAAGGGTTCAGGTGGGGGCAGCAGGGAGCGGCTGCAGACTCCAGGAGTCCCCAGGGGTAAGGCAGTTGCACCATCCTGTGGTGTATGTGTTCTTAAAGACAGTCCCAGGTAGCCCATTCCTGGGCTCCTCTGTGCTGCTAGTGTCCTGAGCCTGGAATGGGCTGGGAGTGAGGAATTTGGGGCTCCTGCACACACATCCCCACACCAAGGTTTTCTTGCATTCCAAAGGGTTCCCTCTTTCACCTCACCCTAGTCCCTCAGGTTTGGGGATTCCTCTTTCCAGATGCCACATGCTTAGCCAACCTCCCAACCCTAAATCCAAGAGCAACTGAGGCATCAGGTAATTGCTTTGGTGAAATGCAGAGAGGCTCAGGTCCCCAGGCTGAGGGACAAGACCCCTCTGACACTTCAGAAGAAATGACAAAGGGCAACATGGAGTTGTTGGCTCCTTCCTTCCCTCCCTCCCTCCTTCCCTCCCTCCCTCCCTCCTTCCCTCCCTCCCTTCCTTCCTTCTTCCCTCCCTGCCTTTCTTCCTCCCTCTCTCTCTTTCTTCCTCCCTCCCTCCTTCCCTCCCTTTTGGAGACAAGTTCTTTCTGTGTAGCTCAAGCTAATCTTGCCTCATCCTTCCAAGTGCTAGAATGTGCCACCAAGCCTAGCTTTAAACTGTGTGTGTGTGTGTGTGTGTGTGTGTGTGTGTGTGTTGTTTTGCTGGGCATGGAAACGAAGGTCTTGCACACGCTAGTCAAGGAGTCTATTAATTGATTTTTTTTTTATCTAGACCTTAGCGCCTTAGAGTTGCCAATACTTGTTGTTTTGTTTTTAAAGATTCATTTATTTTGTGTACGTGAGTGCCCTGTTTTCATGCATGCCAGAAGATGGAATCAGATTCCTTTACGGATGGTGGTTGCTGGGAATTGAACCCAGGAGCTCTGGAAGAGCCACCAGTGGTCTTAACCGCTGAGCCATCTCTCCAGCCCCAGTGGCCAATGTTTTTGTTATATGTAGATGTTATTATTCAGCCTCCCTTCCGAAGACGACCTCACTATATACCATGAACACTAAAAGGAGTCATGTAGTTCGGTGTGGTACATCTTCCCAGAGTGGTGAGGGGCTAGGCTCATTCCCTAGGATGGGAGAGCTGGGTAGCTGGGTAAATGTCTTCAATCCTTACACTTGGGAGGTCAGAGGTTAGGGTTCAAAACCACAGCCTTGGCCATATAGCAAGTTTGAAGTCAGCCTGGGCTACATGAGACTATCTAAAAATAAAACAAAACAAACAAACAAACCACATATCATCTATAAAACCCCATCATGGAAAGTGAGCTTTCAAACTAAGAGGAACTTTTGAGACCGTCCCTCTGAGGTTCTCTTATGAACTTCCTTCTAGATAAAGGGTCTGATGAACGTATCAGGAATTTGCTGTGTCCTTCATCTCTCAGCCTTGGAGGCAAGGATGGACCTTGAGCCCAGGTCTCTGCATTTGGGACCCAGGGCAGGAATGTACTGGAATGTACTCTGCCCATCTCCCTAGGAAACTCCCCAACTCCCTAGAAACCAGCTTGGAGTCTGTCTACCAGCTCAGGGGTTGGCTGGGATCCAGGCTGCTCCCATCCCAGGAGGCTTTGTAACCAGAGAGAACCTTGGTTTGAACCTGGGCTCTGCAACTTATTTTCCAGGTGACCGGGATGAGTTACATAATCTCTCCACCCTTGGGTCTCTTATCTGTTAAGGAAAGATAATGACAGAACATACCATGGCTTCCTTATGATCCCAGTTACTGCGTGGGAAGCGGCATGACAGGATGGAAAAGATGTGTGTGCACTTCCTAAGGCCAGGAACCTGTTGCCTGTTGTCTAACATGGCAAATGTGATTAGGGGCCTTGAACTGAAGATATCCAGAGGGCATGGTAATCACAAGGGTCCCTCAATATGCTAGAGGAGGCAGGAGGGCCAAAGCCAAGGAGAAACTTGAGAACAGAATAGAGGCCAAACAATATGAGTGCGCAGATGAGCCAAGCGGGTATTGGCTGCCCATCCATGGATGCTGGAAGAATGAAAGAGTGTTCAGACAGAATACTACTCTGACGATTCCATGCTTTTAGCTATGATTTGGGCTTCTGAACTCCAGAGCTGTATTTCTGTTGTGTTAACCGTGAAATCTGAACACATTTCAAGCCAAACTGTTGAAAGATGACCAACAGCAAATGGCAAGTGTTCTGTGTCCCAGACTCTTGACTTCACTGCCATGAAAATGTTCCATTACTAGGCCATAGTCTGTGACCCCAGCTGCTGGCAGCAAAAGTGGGGTGAGGCAGGCACCTGGCTTGTAGGCGCTGTGATGCAGTACACACTTTCCAGGTTAAAACCAGTCGCAGAGGGAAGTGGCCTCCTTGAGAGAGGAACGGAGGCTGCCCCCACAGGAATAGCTTTCTCGATCTTTTGGGGGTGGGAGTGGGGAATCTAAGCAGCTTACTTGTTGGCCTCCAGGCTGCTCCCCACAGTCCTACCTTTTTCTTTGGCTCATTCCTGAAATCATGGTGGCTAAATCGTAATCCAACCTAACATTTGCTCAGTTCTGTGGTCCTCAACTCATTTAAAATAAACTTGAGACACCCCTGCTAAGGCCCGATGCTAGGTTTCCCCCCTTGGCAGTTTGCCTGTCAGAAAAACAGCAGCTCAGAGCTGCTAAGAACAATTCTTGCCCTTCAGGTTTGAGATGGTGCCCATGGGGGTTGGGATTGGGTCTGGTCTCTAGTTCTCTGATGGTGACTTCTTCACTTCCAAAGCCTTCATAGTCCCTTCAGGGACATGGCTTGGGGACTGGAATCCAAGACATCAGGGAAGAGGACTCTGGGACAACTTGACTGAGCAGTAAGTGTGCTTGTCTTAGTATATAGCCCAGGCTGGTTGCAAACTTGGGGTAATCCTCCTGCCTTGGCTTTCTGTGCTGAGGTTATGTGTATGCACCGTGCTCACTTACCTTCCTGTCTTCCCCGTACTCAATTGCTAGTGACTGTCACTTTATCAGAAGACATTTGGCTTAAACTAGTGTAAACAGCTCCTTACTATTCTGGATAGGAAGTCTTTCTGGACAGATCAGCAGTAAAATGGGCTCACCACAGATTGAGACTGGGGTTGGCCACTGTTAGAGGTGTCAGGTGACCAGGATTGGTCCAGGGAGTGAAGACAGTGCCTATCATTGGTGTTTCTCTCACTACCCTCACTCCCTCATCTTGGGAACCTCCAAAGTGACTCCTGGATTTGGGCCAGCAAGTGCTGGGATCCCGACACTCTCGGAGCTTTGACAGCAGTAGATGTAGCACATTTCACAACTTCTGTCTGGACATCAGATCATTTGCACAGGCCAGTGCAAGGACTCTGTCCTTCAGTGGGCCTGGCACCAGGGACACCAAACATTTACTGAATGAATGACATTGGTACACCAAAGCTTCTCAGACTGGCAAAGGGTCACAGAAAGGCACAGGCCTTCAGTGGTGCCAGCCCCTTCTTGGAATATGTACCCGATAAGGGATAGTGCTAGCAGGAATGGGGATCAGGGACTGGAAAGGGTCTCCCTAAGCAGACTGGATCCCCAGTGTTTCCTGTTTGAAAGTCCTATTACGGTGAGGACACTGCCACCAGCTCTGAATGATGTTCCTGCCTTCTGCTCAGGAGACTAAGGTCCCTGTGGCTGAATGGGTGGGGCCTGGCTCCAGTACAAAGTCAGGAAGTCTGTCCTTCCTGGAGGGCAGAGATGTCCAGGTTCAGATCCCAGAGTGAATCTGGTTGCCTCTGGGTACCTACACGACCTCTAGCCAAAGACTGCAGACAGAGCAGCAGCAAAAGGTGTATTGATTGACCTTTGGGGAGTTCTCAGAGCCCATCGCTGGTTCCAAAGCCAGCTCACCTCTGTGGGGTACGCACACCATCAGGACTTCCAGGGGCTCACCTGAGAAGGCACCTTCCTCTCTAGCAGTTCCATTTCGATTCTAGCCTCAAAGGCTTTGCTCTGTGGCTCTCCCCCTTAAAGAGTTTTGTCTCTGTATGAGTGTGTGTTATCTGTACACAGGAGCCTGGGAAGCAGGTGATATCCCTTGGAATTGGAGTGAGTTGCAGGAAGTTGGTGCTTTTGACCACTGAGCCATCCTTCCTGCCTCTGTCACTCTTTCTACAAAGCTCAGAATTCCCCAAATCACTGATCTTTCTTCTCATAAGACTTCAGCTCTCAGCAGTGCCTGGGGCCCTGTTGGGAATTCTGTCCCCTGCCTGGACTCCAGGAACAGGCAGAGGAAAACAATAGGAAAAACTCTTCTGTCCTACAGCGGAGGGAGGTCACCCCATAAAGGTTCCAGCCAGGGTCAACTCAAGGTTCTCCCCTTCTGAGTATCCCAAGGAATCCATTTTCCACTCAACTCTGCAAACACAAATGTGTCCCTTCTAAGGGGTTAGAGTCCACTCGGGTGCCTGGACACAGTGTGAGTCTGACTTGCCAGGCTCAGAATCCAAGAGGCAAGGTGAGAATGTACAGCTCAGAGCCCCACCCTAACCCTGGGGACTTCTTCAGAGACCTGGGTCACCTCCACCCTTACCCCATGTGATTCTCCCAACTAGACTCTGAACCGTAAGGCAAACAACATATCAGCGTTAGAACATAATCAGGTTTTTATTTCCACAACCTCCTACAGTCCAACCAAGTTACTAAGTTGTAAATGTCCCACACAAACAAGGACAAAAGCTCTTAGCAACTTGAATCTGGAGATTATTATTATTTTCTTTTTAGCTCAACAGAAATGAGAAAGGAAAAAATACTTCTTACATTTTCAAAGAACAGAAATAGCAAAGTGGATTCATATACATTCAACATATACTGCACTTAT